CTTCAGATTAGCTGAAGAACAGTACGTAAAGGACTTCATGGAATGGGTTTCCAGCTGCATCCAAGCCTTACACCATCAAGTGCAATGCAACGCATCAGATGCAGTGGTATAAAGTATGTTGCCACTGGACTCTAGACATGGACAAGAAAAAGGCTTCGGGAAACACCCATGGGTTCCTAAAACGTCCTTAGTTATAAGTAAACCTTCCGTCAGACATATACCGTACTTTAGTAAGGTTGGTCTCAGCCGCTCTTAGCCGTCTCATCGCTGTTGTCGGCTCATACTGCTCATTTAAAATAAGACTAACATCACTAAGGGTACACAACTGAATATATCTAAGAATATCTGATCCATACAAAATGATTTTGTCTTATACATGACTACAGTTTTCGTTCGGTATGTGTTTCATCCTCGCGCAACGAATTGGCCCCAGTAACGCGCGGATCTATAATAAAAGATAAAGCACGTGCTGATGATTATGTATGTATTTATTTTTTATTGGGAAGGAAAGGGCGGTTTGCCGATATTTGGGGGAAACGTCCCTCCAAATATACATTACAATTACAGCCCTGCCCACCCCCCGCACTGTGTTGACTCCATGTCTTGGGTATGTTTCGTCCTCTTGCTCTGCAGCGAATTGACCTCGGATTCATAATAAAATTATATCAAAAATTCGGTTCATGTGGTTCATTAAGAGTCAACACTAGGGGTGCACAATTAATCGTAAAACACCACGATCTCGATTCACATTTCTATCCGATCACATTTCTGAATTACAACAGCTCTACTGAATTGTATTACATCAGCTGGAAGAAGCACTCCTAAGTCTCAAGCGTCCCATAATTCTGCATTCTCTTTAAAGGGCACTTTTCCATCGCATCAGGTGCCTTACTTTTGGTACTTCAGCAAAATATGAAAAACTGATACCGGTGCTGAATGACATCACAGTGTGAGGCGGGTATTTTGCACCGAATTCGAACAATGGCTGTAGTATATTATAGGGCTGGAGGATGTGCGCTATCAATACCAACATCGCATGTTGTGCACATGCAATTTTTACTTCGCCCTTCAGCTAGATTAACATCAGGCTTTTCTTACTTTCAGTTCTGTAAATGGACATTATAGCGCAGGGAGTTTAGGTTTCACTAAAATATTTTTACTCTGTCATAGGGGAAAAAAAACAAGTTTTGCTATTTTAATTATTATTCATTTTCAAGATTATCTACTATTTATTAAAAAATCAGTTAGTTTAAAGTTTACCTCCGCTGCTTTTGCATGATCGATGCGACGTTTCTCACTGTGAGACAATCATAATCATTTTCACCCTTGCTGCTTAAATCACTCCTAGGCGGCTTCGTGAGAAATTTTTGTTGAAAATTTCTTTGTTTTATAAACAAACATTTATCACAGACACACTCGTGCTGCCCTATTATACTACAGAACATACATCTGCTTCTTCCGACCAGATCGCAGTTAAAGGTTGGGTCAATTAATTTGTCCACGCACCTATTATTATTATTATTATTATTATTATTATTTACCCCGTTTATCGTTGTTTTCTGAGTTCGCAACTGTGTTGCATTTCAGGGGCAGGCTATTTGCATAACCGTTCGACAAAGACAGCGTTTCAAGTCGCACCCTAAAGTACCGAAGTACCAAAGAAGTATCCCACTGGGACTTTTTGTACTGTATTGTTTGGAATGACTGCTTTGCTAACCCTAATCGAACGGCCAATTGAGCGTTTCCTATCTCTTGTCAGAGGTTGATATGCGGCCCTGGATCAAGCATATGTTTAATACAATCATGTTTTGTTGAGTTTCTTTTTGCAGTTTAATGAGTGCAATAAACGTCTAAATTAAAGGGGGAAAATGTTACAGAGAACCTTCATCTCAATTCTAAGCAAAAAATAAAATAAAACAATATTTTTTCAGATTCGTGCAGCCACTGCAGGTTAATTAAGGCTTACATATAAGTGCAATGTATCCCCCCCCAAAAAAAAACACTCTGGAATAGGCCTTAGTAGGCAATGTAGCACATTGGAGATTCTTTTCTTTCAGCTATTGTACCACTGCTCTTCCCACTCTCAATCACATACACACATATTGATACACACAGCTGTTTTATTGATGAAATAAATATTACATTATGTTACACTACAATCTGGGGAGGCACCCAATTGGTGTAAATCATATATATGGTTTCAGTTGTTTAATTTTGTAGGCCTATTTTATTTTTAGGTTCTCCCCAGTTCCGCTTAATGCAATATTTTGAAACATTCCTGCAGTGTTATATTTACAAAGAACACCACTTCCTCTCAAGCATGCAGTCACTGCATGGAGGGAATAATCAACTCTCAAACCATGTCAATCAATTCGGCATCATCCCCTTGGATGCCACTTAGTTACGCACTTAAGAACCTATCCCTTAAGCAGCCTCCTACAGGATTGTTTAGACAACAGTCGTAGAACAGTAAACAGCTTCAGTAAGGAATACATTTTAAGTCTTTGTAACATGCTAAGAGACACTGTTGCTTGAGAACTCAGCCCAGAGTACTCACTCAAGCAGGGAAAGAACAAGCAAGGAAAGAACATGCAGACTCTCACGCACACAGAGCCAGGGCCAGGAATTAAATCCACAATCCTGAAAGCCACAGTGTTACCCACTGTGTTTGAATAACAGCTCATTGCAATGAAGGATGCATACAACTTGTTCGGATAATGTTTTAAAACTCAGAAATACAATTAATAGACAAATATTATTTTGAATAGCTTAATATATATTTGAAATAGTTTTCAAAGCTTCTCAGAATTGCACAAAAAAAAAACGTTACATTTTGTTATCGATATAGGTTCGCGCTGACTAAAAAATACATTACAAAACGTGTACTGTGATTTACATTTCACTTAAATAAACATTTAGCGTGTGTACTATTTTAGTAGTAATTTTATATGCAATGTTTAGTAGTAATTTTATATGCAAAATAAGTTATATTTTAATTATTGCAATTTTTTGTCAAATCTTCCTGAAATAGCACTGTAAACTTGCTGCAACCCCATAAATCTTATAGTGTAGTTCATATTTCTTTATTTTCATAATCAACTTTTTTAATGTTTTGGCGTGATTAATATTTAAATTACATTATCGACATTTTGAGTAAATATATGCAAACCTAACGTTTAGACCGCATTTCGATTTGAATGTAGACGCATTTATTTGTCCCACGTCGACGAAGAAGCGTGTCCTGATAAAAGTGGAGTCTGTAATGATAAAAATCGCTTAAACGTGCTTCGTAGCCACGAAATCATAAATCCCACGCATTGTCACAGATTTTAACATTGATGCTGCTTCTGCCTGAACAGCGAAACCAAGCGAAAACTCGGGAGATGTTTGCAGTGTATAAGCTCTATTTATCTAAAAAATAAATTAATTTATTTTGGCGTTTTAAATAAAACTGGCAGTTTATAGCCAATTAAATGCATGTATATGACCTTTGCCTTATCCAGACAATACGTTCGGGTTTGTTTATAGAAACATAGGAAACTTGTTTTGTCTGTGGACGGGTCGTTTATACAGTATAAATGGAAAGAAAGAAAGCAAACGTAGGGCGAGCGAAACACTCTATTCAGCAGATTCGCTATGTCCCTCGATAATTTAAATAACCAGTGGCGACCCTTGAAAGCCAGTTTTGTCATCCTTAAAATCCACGATGGTTTGAAACACCATTGTGTTGTTAAAACCCATAAATTTGTTACCAGGGACTGATTAAACAGTAGGAGAATTGAAACACTGAGGATTTTGTCTTGGTCCTTTTGGACACTAAACAATGGCCCTTTCAGGAGAAGACACAAAAAAGTGTGTTTAAGGGGAGATGCGTCGAGCAGAGGGGTCGGGCGGTCCCCTCCGTATGGAACACAAGGTGGCCTGCGCGAGGAGACAAAGGACCAGGTGACAGCGACGATGCGCTTCTGTGTCCCGGGAAGAGCAAACAACAACTTAAGGGTCGAGGAAGCAGGGAAATCATTCTTGTACAAAATCACGCCTCCCGTGTTTCCATCAGCCTCCTAAGCATGTTCTGGATAATTCTTTGAATTCCGAACGTAAAAGCTCCTTCTATCTGAACTTCTTGACTGCTTCCAAAGTCTGACCAATAGATCAAATACATTCATTGCTGGTCTGATTTTTTGGGATAGGTTCGATCATCCTTTTAATCGCACCGTTCGAAGTGTATAAATAAAACAGAATTTCATGCAACGTTTTCGATAAGATATAGGCCTATTTCAAAATTCGATTCATACTTCAATATCCCTATCAGGAAAAAAAACATTTGATAGGATTTAAAACGTCGCTGTTATCACAATTTCAATTTCAATTTAATTGCGTGGAAATCAACTCACGTCTTTATTAATTAATGCAAGCGTTGCCAGAATATTTTTAATTTCTTTCAGCCATTCCGAATACATTTTTTTTAATTATTGATTTTAAACATCATGTACAAAATGTACAGCCGTTCAATTCCAACAGCTCCCTTCATTTTTAGGATATAATAATAAAAAATACAGTGAGGTTTCAACTATTTAAATTACCAGGCCTGCGCACATGCGTGTTAATTTTCATACAAATGGTTCTGAATAATCACATTTTCTTCATTTTTCTTCAACTAGATTTTACTTAAGCAATTAATACCAATGTTTTGAACACCTTAAATTATTATTAGTATTATTAATATTATGGGTTCTAAAATCAATGTATCTTATTATAGGCGTCAAATTAAAACATTACAAATTTCGAATTATGAAAAAGAATTTTAAAACCCATTAAAAGCTGTTATATACTTTTTCTATGTTCGTTTAGTTAAATATTGCGTTCAGTTCAGTTTTATGCATATTGATTTGAACTTGAACTGAAATAATTGTTCATCTGAACAAGTTTTATTCGAGTATTGTGAAGAAAAAATAGAATGACATTTTACTTTTCATTTTCATGAGTTTATTTAAATCCATTTATACATAGTAATATCAATTTTCTTCAAATCTATATGGATACCATCATTAAAAATCGACGATGATGTTTTATTTAGTCAAACTTGAATACAACATAAAAATGTCTATTGGAGAAGTAACATTTCATTTTAAATCTATATACAAAAACTAAGGGCAGCTCATCAGCAAAAAATACTTTTAAAATGTGCAAAATATTTTCAATTCAGTATCTTTACAAAGTTTAGACTCTTAAATTGTTTAAGTAACCATGGAAATTATTTAATTAAAATGACACTGGGATGGCACATTTCTCGTGACCCCGTGTTGAAAAGTGGATTCTTAGCTTTCTGTGCTTCAATAGTCGCTGAAATGTTCACAAAGTCCCTTTCACCAGGCCCAGCTATGCCTGGCTGCAGCAGAGCTCGGTAAGTGCTGATATCTGGGAAATAAGGCGAAGGGTGACGGATGCTGAAAAGACTGGTACCCATGGAGGCTGAAGGACGTCGCAGCCACTGTCGGCGGTATTTCGCTACATGTCTTGTCTGGGTCGACAACGCAGGTGTTAAACGGCTTGCCATCCCGAATCAAAATAGGCACCACAACTCTACGGAGCACAGGAGCTTGGTCGAGATCTTGAGATACCTCCGCCCGCCCTCTCTTCATCTTGTAACGATGGTTCTGAAACCAGATCTTCACTTGAGTCGGCGTTAGGCTCAGGAGGTGCGCCAGATGCTCCCGTTCAGGGGCAGACAGGTACCGCTGTTGCTGAAAGCGCCTCTCGAGCTCGAAGGTTTGGGCCTTTGAGAACAACACGCGGCGCTTTTTCCTCTTCTCTGCGTTTTCCGAAAAAGGCTCATGTGTCTTCGTTGAGTCGGGTAATATCTCAGGACTGCTTTCGTCCGAAGCTGCTCAAATGAAAATCACGTGTTAGTATTCCCGTGTACCCAGTTTGATTTGAAGTGATACATTTTCGTCTTGTAGAAAATGACGAAACACACATAGTAAAACTGCCTATTTCTATAATAAATAGTGCATAATTGCATGAATACTCACATATGCAGTGACTCCGGTCGCTGTCCAACCATGGAGAATAAGGAGAGTTGGGCCGCTCTGGAGAGTGTTGATGAGCAGCATCGGCTTCAGGTTCGGGTAAATCCAAAATGCTCCTTACGGTGAAACGTATTTTAGCAGAGAGAGCCATCATTTAAAATGTGTGTTTTCGGTGTATGCGATCTCAGATCAAGTCCGAAAAGCGGTCTATCCACTTCGCGAGCTAAGGGGACGAGCACGCTGTCAAAACGCGACCTCAAATACCCCGTGGAGCCCGACGGCGGGATGTTTATATTTACAGCTCTCAGCTCTGCAAACAGTGCTTCCTTTCAGCGTCTCTCCTTCGCTGGGATGCTAAGCACCTGAATGACTCAAGTGCAGAAATCCAAGTGAGGGTAGGTGTGAACGCGCAGAAGAATACGCCGTTACTTCCACAATAGCCAAAGGAAACACTCATCATCATTACATATTCTGTCTGATTCGCTAAAAGTGGGAAAGAGATAATGGTAATTGTTGTTGCTGAATGACGTCTTGGGTGGCAAGTGACAACCAACGACCCCCTCCGTTGTCCACTAACAACTTAGATATTTACATACAAAGTGACCCATTAGCCTGATGCGAATAGTTGATTTAGCTAATTTATTAATAGCTCTTTTAGCTGACCACTAAAGGTATGAAATATATGACATATGTGCTAGTAGCATTTACATCTTAATTAGGGAGTTAAAAAACGTGTGTATTCTGTAAAACTAAAAGTAAAGTTTGGGGCGTATTGTTCTATATTGCATAAAGTTTGCGGGATACTACCTGAAACGCTTATGTGCCTCAATGAACGGGTATAGCTAATTTGACCAGCAAATTTTCCATTGGTACGAAGAAATTGTATATTTTTCATGAAGTATAATAATCTACTGTATATTTTAAACACTATAGTCAGCCAAATAGGGTGTAATTTAAACTGTACCCAATCTATCTGAAGATCGAAATCGAAAATCGGAAGTATTCGCACGCATAAATTCGGGTTCCCTAAAATGATCAATCAAAATTATTTATACAAAACTTTAATCGATCTTCTGTATACTTTTAATACTAAATAATGTTTCTTACACCGTTGTGAAGTAACCCGAAAAACGAATTATTCCCTGAAGATAACTGATGAACAGTGCAGCCATCTCGTGTCCAATCGTAAATAAGCGGTATCTTGCAAATAATTTAAACAAACATTGTACTGTATGATGCAGCAGTACATTTCAATGGGCTCTGATACTGGCCCTTCAGGAGCAGCTTGCACGAGACATAGTTCCCATGCAATACTCGAACCAACCACCCCTACAGCGCCTTGGTGACAGAAACAGCCTTCCAAGGCGAGCGATCTGCCTTTCTGGACTTCCTGGGTGGTCGAACGAAAAGGAACGCAAATACATGCCAGCCAGTGGCTGAGAACAAAGGAGGAAAGTGTAGCCCTACGTCCTGGACCCGTTGGAAGCATTTGTTCCAGTCAAGATTTTGCATTTGTTCAGTCCCGAAATAAAGCGTGATTGACGCTTTAGCACAATGTGCTTTAACGTTCTGGGATAAATCCGAGCTTGTTTCTTGTTGTCATGGTTTTGAATGAGGTTGAATAGGATTTGGGCCACTATCTACTGCTCCACGTCTACTGCCGCCAAGTCTATACAGAGTTATTACTTATGCGTTTCCAAACCGAATTAAATGTCTTCGCTTTCTAGTATCAGACTCATTTGTTGGCACCAATTAGTCGACTTTATGAATTTTAAAGTAAAATAACAGTGGTTTTTGCTATTTTGATACTTTAGATCAAAGAATCTACTGTAACGTTATTGGCTTTTCACCCATGTATTGCACTGTGCTGTATGTTGACAGTATTATCTTTCGGAAATTACACAACGTTACCGTCACTGATTTAAAACAAACAAACAAGAAAATCAATTTACAATCAATACCCAAACACAAGACGACAGAGAAAGAACCATGATGATAGAAGCACTCAAATAAATTTGAGTAGTGTTTCGAATACATTATTCGAGGACTACACGCGTTGTTACTGAAAGCACTTAATTTAAGCGCCCAACTCGACAAGGCAAAACAGAGTTTTGTCCAACGTGAGAATGTCTAAATACAATGACCTCTTACAGCCTTCAAATCTATTAAACACCCATGGCTAAAGTGGGTTCCACCTAGAGTATGTACTTTTAAACTAAGAAGTGCTCTTCAATATCAAATATTTGCTTTCGTTATTAGTCTTTGGTGGCAAACTGCAAAGGGATAATTCGAGTTTTTTTTCCTGATGATTTGGATACAAAATTTTACATTTACGTTCCAACTTGTTGTAATTTTTAAACAAAAATAAAACAATATTTCTTATAAATAGTACCAGTCATTATCTAAAGAAATGTGACAAGTGGGATAATCGATCTTAAATTCTATAAAGGTATCTTTTAAACATCTAAAACAAACGTTTTTAAAACTAAAACGAATTTTTTTGATTAGGTCCTGTCGCTTAAGACAATTTGCATCATTATTTTCTGTGTAGCATTTTTGCGTTTATTGTACTTTGCGGTGATTCACCAAAGCAAGCCACTGTCCTGTCAGTAATGTTCTGATTTTATTGTGCCAAACAGAAATATAACGAAAACAAGTAATCTCGATCATATACAACGATTTGAAACATATCATTAATCGAAATTAACTGCACCTTTCGTCCTCATAATGGCATTCTAAGACAAAGAACCAAAACAAAAATTATGTACAATTTCAGCTTTGTATATTTTTACAATATACATTGTTTATAGAATATGAGTTTTAAATGTTTTAACAATATAGGTGATAAATTACACATACGCATATTCCTGGCAATATAATTACTGGCAAACAATTTCCCATCAACCTTATAATAAAAATGCGAAGGTAAAGTTCTAAGGTTACACATTTTACCTAAAACGGTGGTACTATTTATCTGGCAACAATTTAGCCACCTGTGACATTCACATATAATGAAACAACAATGGCTACAGTTCTAGCACAGTGAAATGGAAATGGAAATGGAAATGGAAAGGCACTTAATGAAGCATTTACTTCATGTCACAGAGAGTTTTACTACCTATCATACAGGGAAAACATTGTTGAAGTGTCTCTACTGTAGGTTGTAGTTAAACTGGGGCCAAATAACCTACCGTTACACTATGAACTGCTAACCAATGAGCAGAACACAATGTGCAGAAAATCACACCCCATAACATGCATATTATCTGTTACATGAATAACATTACTAAATATACAGTATCAGTCAATAATAGTCAAGTAACAGTCAAATCAAGTGGGCTTATTGTTATTCCATCTATATGTAACTATGTTGTGACACAAGATAACATTTCCCAGCTGCAAAGATAATGACAATAAAACACTGCAGTATTAAACATTTGACATAATGGTTTGTCCTCTAACATGCACAATACAGAAACACACCTCCAGAAATGCAAACAAATCAGAAAGACTTTATGGCATATATACTGTGAAAGCGTGTAGAAGGCACACCTGCATATACAGGAGCGAATGAGCACTATGACACAAAGGAATCACCTTGGTGACCAGAGTGCCTATTCGAGGAATATAACGGAGTCACCTCTGACCTCTCGCGCAGCCACGGAAGCACACCAAGGCTTCACTGTCACATTCTGTGCTCTACGTTTACACTATTGTCAAAATGCGGCAACAATCCTGAAATACACAAAACTGATTTTTTTGTTTGTGTGCTTTGATGTGTGTGGGGGAAAATCAATAGACAACTGCTTGCATCTATGACTAAAGCTACTATATACACTTCTGACAAATGCACCAAACGAGAGAAAATGTACCACGAAGTTTCTTGCACAACGTTTCCCACCGTTTCATGGAAAACATACTAGGAAACTGTAACAAAACACGCTCATTCTGCCACTGACTTTAAGCGCTTTTAGTTGGATTTTCATTAAGTCAAGTATCACTGCATAGCCAAGTGGAATACTGCAGTGTTCAGTAAGTCGAACATGTAACAGAACGAAACTTTATACATTTATAATGCCTTTAGAAGTAAAGGTTATAATCCAAAATGCATTTGAACAATTCATATATGATATGCACTGATGAGGGGAGAATAGGCTTAGCTCAAAAGTACATAACGTTTTAAGCGCTTTTTTACTTAAAGGCATAATGTATTTTATTACATATTGAAAATGTATTTTCTTTGATATCCATCAATCCATCCATCGGCATTGTGCAAATCAAATTTGTGGGAAGGCACATAAAGCCGCACACAACACATAAAAAATACACATATATGCAGATATTAATGTTTTTGAAACTTTATGTAACTAATAGGCCTATAGATTCCAACATGTCCAACTGAGATGTGAGTCATGAATGTCACGGCGTAACAGCTTGTTGATTATGTGTAGCGTTATTGGGAATGATGAGGGATGGGGGAGGGGATTAACAGACGCAGTCTAACGGAGGAAGCTCATTGGCCAGAATACCGTGACTGCAAGTTTACTGCGAATTTAACGGCGTGTTATTCGCAGTCAATATAGGCACGTTATCGGCTGACGGAATAATTCATGTATACATTACATTTTTACAAAATTGTGGGTAGGCACGTGCACATACCTAAATTGATTGGCACAAGGCTGCTGCTTCCACCTTCTATTCATATCCTCATCAGAGATAGATGGGGGCCTGGTGCCTATCCCAGGTAGTGTTCCCAGTTGCCCATCCCAGTTGCATTTTCTCCCCATGCAGTGTGGGTTTCTTCGAGGTACTACGGATACACATCATGGTAGGAGTTTGGGGAAGGGACCCTAGTCACCTGAGGTGACTCTAATGTCAATATCGACTTCTGCTGCATTAAGTAAATTGGCTATAGCTAACAGAAGGTATTATGCATGGATTTAGCAGTTGTTTGTTTAGGTTAGTTGTTTGAATGCATTTGTTTACTCGCAACTGTTTTCCAGGCTGCCCCTTTGCACTTTGCATAAGCGGTTTGTTGCTACCCTATAGATCTGCCGTCAGAAAAATAGGATACAGCCCTGGTACAGTTCCGTACTCCAAGGTAAAAACAACATTAATGTACCCTCAATGGTACAAAATGTCCCTCAGAGTGCATTTCTATACCTTAAAAGGTACATTTACCTGCAGCTAGGGTACAATTCGCAGACCCTTGATGGTACAGCCCCAGTAACAAGCAATTGGACCCTCAAAAGTACAAATTAGTATTTTTTTCCAATAGGTTATGTGTGCATGGAGTATGTGCATTAACACTTATAGAGTGAGTAAGAATGTGGTCCTTTTGGCCCCCAAAATGCAAACATCAAACTTCGCCTAGACATGCAATGGACTGGCATCATGCCCCCTGTTCTGTCCGCCCCCCCCCCCCCCCCCGCCCCCCGCGACCCTAAACAGGAAACCGCTGTTTAGATGATGGATGGATGAGAATCGCCGAGACCCTCACCAACCTAAAGAGTGGGAAGATCAGATGACAGGCCTATAGATTCTTATTTGCTTTGTTTCTTTTCTGTTCTTATTTTATATTATTTCTGTTCTTATTTTCAACAAAAATGTTCTCGTTGAAATATTATATAGGCTTACTCATCAGTCAACGATTTAACATCATTTTCCTGTAATGTACTTTTATAAATGAATACTAATATAAAAACAGAATCAAAAGGTTAACCAAATCTCGTGCTGACTAAAAATGAATTGTCTGATATTTTTTTATTTTATTTCAGCCTTTTGGGGTACATTTATCCTCCACAAGAATGTTGTAAATATACTACATTTTGGGGGTGGGTGGGGGGCGGGACAGGCGGTATCTTCACGATAAATTTTGCGGGCTTACCAGTATGTCAGACGGCCAGTCCAGTCCTGTTATAAAGTCACAACGCATGAACTTCTCAGTATTTTTAAAATACGACGTAGGCATACGAAAATACGGTCCAACACTTCCGCCTAGAGGACACGTAAAGAATTGCACTGCACATTTCCCTAATCCAAGCTATCGTAATCATTTTATGTTTGCCCTCAAACTAACACACGTAACCTTCCGATATTGAACATCTCAACATTTAAATGTCGCGGCAGTAGATTAACCGAGGTGTATTAACTAGAACTAATCGCACAAAAGACCTGTTTAAAATACGTAGTACATAATGCAGAGAGTGTAACACAGGCTGTCATTATAGTCCTACCAGTACTATCCCAAACTCCCAAACTACTACCACTGCTACTAGTATTTATGATGATAATAACACCAACACCAACAACAAATTATTATTATTATTATTATTATTATTATTATTATCCATCTTCTAGATCCGTTTTTCCTATGCAGGGTCGCTGGGGTTTTCATGTATTATTATTGTTATCATTACTAGGCTATTAGCAGTAGTAGTAGTGGTGGTGTTAATAATAGTAGTTGTAGGCTGGTAATAGTAATAGCAGTACACCAAACTTTTTCTTTATCTTAAAAAAACAACAAGTCGAACATTAATAAAACAATATTGAACCGGTAAGCGGCGCTGCTTCATTACATTAAGGATTGTAGTTTGCGGGATTGTGGTATGGGAGGAGGCAGTGAAATCGGGTCTGGGGTGCGTTTCCCGACAGCTTCGTATAGTTCGTAATCTCTCACTTTAAAGATAAAACGTTAATTATCGAGTATTTCCAGAAATTCTTCGTAAATAACGTACTTCGTAATTTACTTCGTAAACTGACGAGTGAGACAACTTACATGTTATTTTCTGCTCTTAATTGTCACTTCTGCCTGCTACTCTGTTACAGAGATGCAGAGGTCGCGCTTAATAGATCGCAATTACACTCTGACGCTCTTTTTTGGACAACAACAATACTACTACTACTACTACTACTACTACTAATAATAATAATAATAATAATAATAATAAACCTAATAATAAGGTCGCGCGAATTACGATAGGCCTATGCTAATTATTGAAGAATATCTTAATTAAAATTTTATTAGGTTTGTCTGCAGCCGTTACATGAGAAATTTGAGTGCTTAACTGAGTTGTCTTACTATGTATGTAGATGTCTTTACATGTTTTCAGAGTAGCCGGACTAAAACGCAGTCGGCCTTAGGCCTGCTCTTGTTACATTTACTATTTTATTAATAAATCACGAAAATTGTTCTAAGTGAATCAGCATCCATTTTAAAGCTCACCTGGATTCATGTCAATTGTGCCAACACAAAAATATCGCCGTCTTTAAAACTAATGAATAACAAGTGACTTAATCTGTCATTTAATATTTTAATACTAACTAATGCACGCACGAACAACCGACAGCGTTATGGATACTCTGAAGAGTAGCAAATGGTGCCATTTGTCCTCCTAAAAATTAATCCAATCACTTCTGTCAAAAAGTCATCGTTCTTTCTCTTTTCAGAAGAAGAAAATTACAAGCTACAACAAGTCCGTAAAATAATAATACCGGACGGATTTAAAATTGTTCAACAAAAGGCAACAAACGTATGTTTTTAATTCAGACATTTAATAGCTGGGTGAGAGCAACAGTTGAAAATCACGTTCTTCTGAGTTAAATACCTGACCACTGAGATCCGTCCTAAAGTATACAGGCTGTACTAAAGTAATTTTGTTTTCAGCATAGACAATTCTAGGTCATATTCAGCTAGGCTTCAGACGCGCTATTTTTTCGTGTTGCCCCCGAAGAATTATTGTTTTAAATCCATTTAGCGATTTCGTTCCGTATTTCCTCCTAAGGCTCAAATCCTGGAATCGCCGACTGGTCTTCAGTACATGATGCTTGTTAAAAACAATGACTCAGTGAAAGGTTAAGTGTCACATTTAGATTAAACAACGAGGGGCAGCCGGGCACCACTGCACCCGAACCTTCAGAGATGGGGTTCTGACCCGAGCTTCCGATCTGTGTTCGCATATGTAACGGCTGCTTGTTTACTGTAGTGCCAACATTCTGCAGAGGTGGCCCGGTTTCCATCCGCAGTACCAAAGTCATGTAGGCAGAGCGTGGGGGGGGGGGCAGTATTGGAAGTGGTTTTACAATGGAATTACGGGGAATCTTAATAATAAATATATGAATTTAATATATATGAACACCGAACTTCTCACCGAAGTTATATGCATTGCGTGTTCAGGGTGCAAAAGTCATTGGTCTCTTCACATGGATGTCGTGTCCTTAGCTTAATCACTAACAGAATTTAACTTGCAAATATGCAAAGTAAACTGAAGCGAATGAAATGCTGATAGTATATCTAATTGTAATTTGAAATTGTAATTATTATTCAAATGTCTTAATTTTAAACCAAACGACAACAATTAAAACTCGCAGGCTAATAATACCAGAAGAAGCGAAAACGGATTGATAGTTAGGTGGGTCAATGGGTCCCACCCATCCTCGTGGCGGGGGCACGAAGACTGCCCCTGGGTTGTGCTTTGGGTCTGGCTGTTCTCCCCGTGTCCCGCGGGTCTCTCGTAGAAGTCCGGGCACAGAAGCATGTAGAAATTTCCCCTATGTGTGTGGTTATGTCCCCTGCGATATAGCCTACGGGTATCTTATCTAGGGTGTACCCCAGACTGTCGCGGACACTGACCACGAGAAATGGTTGGGAGACAGATACTTGGATGGTTAATAGTATTTTTCCAAGTTATTTCTTTTTCTTTTTGAGATTTTCGATATTATTCGATATTTAAGCCATAATTGAACTGAGCCGTGCGATTATTGTTAGTTTTATTTATTGGTGTAGTCATTTTGTTTTGTTACTTTTAAACAGACATTCTTTTCACTGTAACTGAAAAAAAAAATTGCGTTAATTCTCGTGTTTATACAATATATGCTGCATATATATGCGGAATTCACTCAGATTTTGCACTACGTTTAATAGGACCTTGGAGAAAAGCGAGAGATAAACATTACAGAATGCAATGAATCGAACGGTTTAATGATTAAGCAGTAAAATGACTTCCAGTGTTTCTTTTATTTCATTTTGTAGGTGGAATCCTGTAATGTTTTTGGAGGGTCGCACCAAAAAATTAATAGCACTATATTATTATACTGGTCATATCGACAGATCAAAGCAGCTTCAGTTTGGGAGGAAAGGATAGTTGCATTTTCAGGAAAAAGAAATCTATTATCAAATTTTCTTCTGTCTTATTATCAGCATTGCCGATACTTTTTTTTCATTGTATGGTAAGTAGCAATTGTATTATGCTAAAAATTAAAATAAAAATAAAGCCTGCCAAAATGGAACTTATTGCCTAGGTTCGGAAAAATTGTAATTAAGAGCAGTATTTTTTTTAAAGCGCATATTTCCACTTATTGAGTAAGTTGCACAGTTGGATAAAGGACGAATGGACGAGGGTTGTACGTATAGATGTTGGTGGCGTACCTTGATGTCAGTTTTGTATTTGGAATTAGGAAAAATTCGCTCATTCGTTCATTAAGATACATTTAACCTATAATTGTGATAATTTAAACAGATTAAATGACACCCATCAGTTGAAATAACATCCACATAATTATTCTCTCTCTCTCTCTCTCTCTCTCTCTCTCACACACACACACACACACACACACGTGTACAGCATGAAAATAAAAGTAGGTAACAAGATTTTGAATTTAACAACTACTTTACAGGGAAATCACTCAAAAATGTATCAACATGCCATGGCTTTGTTAAAGACAGATGCCGAGCAAGAAAAGTCCGTTTTCTCCGGAAAGGGGATTCAAACATCAACTTCATCACTTCGCTGAAAACCGCAAAAGGTCAAATGATAAATAAACAGTGAGTCTGTAGGGTGAAAATATATAATGTCACTTCGAACATGTAATTACGTCGGGATGCATGTTCTGTTTCGTTATTCGGTTCTGAAAACCCAAAGCCGTAAAAATCGTCTTTGAATTACATAACTCTGTGTTCAACTTGACAATAACTGCAAGCACGAACCGAGAACCGTAGCAAAAAAATAAATTAAGAAAATATTACAGGTATTCAAACTGTTACCTCAGACATAATCGAAGAAATTCCACTTGTAATTCTGTCAGTTCGATAATTTAATCATACAGCTTATTAATAATTAACTAAACATATTGGTAACAAGGTATAAGACAAAGATATCGAAGAACGTTAATTAAGTGAAATACCTCCTTTCTCCGTGCAGGGGGCGCCAGAATCGTGAAATAGGTGTACAGAATCTGAACCGAAAGGACAAAAATTCCGTCCATCAACAAAATACAATGAAGATTTTTTTTAAATCTGTCATTATTTTTGATTAAGGTGTGTAATGTTTACCGTCTCAGTACAAATAAATAGTTTTTATACGAAAGTAGTTATAGATTTGTGTAAGTACCCATCCCACAATAAAGCCTACCGCAACGTCATAAACAGAAACGTAACATCATAACACATATTCCATTGTAAGACAAACAAATTCCTCCAAAAAAGAAAAAACGAAATAATAACGTAAAGGACGATCCGTCGTTTTTGTTTATTTTTAATGCACAAAAATATCTGACGCTTATGATTGTCGGGACTCCACCGCATATATATTAATTTCCCTTTTCCCCAAATATTTATCAGTTTTATGATCTCATTGGTATGACAATATTAAATAAGTATATGTGTTCTCCTGCCTTGTGCCACGTGCTGCCTGGGATAGGCCCCTGGCAGTCCCAAACCCTAACCGGGACAGGCGGTTGGAGGATAGATGATGGATTGATGATTATCACCGCAGTGATCATTTTTTATTATAATAATAATCATCATTCATGCTCTACTTCAAACGAAACCTACAAAAGAACAATGATTCGGTGCTGTTTTTTTCTTATTGTTACAAACTGATTCCAATTACTATATATTTTTGGCGTTTACACTGATTTACAATCAACGCGGTTCAAGAAAAAAACGAAGAAAACAACAAGAAAAGAAGCTGGTATATTAATTCATTTATTCAACGACTGCGTTTATAATTCCAAGTATGAATGATCGGAGAATCTTATTTTTTCTTAAGACATCAAATCATACTGTACAGTTTTAAAACTTATGCGTACATAGATTGTAGAGTTTTACAAGTTATGCGGATAGATTACAAGGATAATCATGCTGTATGCATACTGTAACAAATTAATATCTTAGACGCAAATAGTGGTTGGGAACACCTTTTTGACAAATAAAATATTTTTAAATAAAAAAATACAATGAGGCTAAATGTATTGTTACTTTTTGAAAGGAATGAAGTGGAAAAAAATCCAAAATACATGTTGTTTTTTTCCTAACTGTGTTGGGATGCCACCGAATTTAAATACTTGAATTTAAAAGACTTAATCATTATATATTTAAATGGGATACTGACTTCATAGAGAGTTCAGAAAGGATTTCATTTTGTATGATCAAACTATATTTCAGTAATCACTTATTGGTGTGTTTCAGGACTAGAAGCATTTGTTGTTTGGAGAGTTTTGGAAAAACCAAGTGTTCCTACACAAAAACTTAATATGAAGTATAAGGATATCGTGACTGTAGCTCATAGAGTGGAAAAGCATATATACTTTAAACGAGTTTATGCTGCATTCTGAGTCCACAGGATCAAGTGCAATTAAAATCTTAGGGATTACATGGAATTGAAAGGAGGGAACAAAATCTGAAATAACGTCGATGGTACCATAGTTACTTCGACTGCTTGCACATTAAAGTCAATATTACAACACAGTTCAAAATAGACGTCTCTAGAATCCATGATTAGTTTACTTAAAATTAAGAATGGAAATTCCTTAGTACAATTGCAATAGACCATCTGAAGGTAACAGACAAAGCAGTCGTGTATATGCATGCATAGGGGCATAGGGTTAATTAAAGTGACAAGTAAACAGTAATCAAATACTGTTCAATTTTGCGTTTACAATTAAATGGATTATAAGGTATAATTAACATGTATAGGTTTTTGAAGAGAGGTGGAATTGGTAAAAATTGTATCAAAAAAGGGCAGAATGCAACAATAAATAAAATCTGACACGTTACATGAGACAAACAGCGCATGTCCCCTGACCCCTACCTGATCTCATCGGCGCGGCACCCAGGGGCGCCTCCTGGTCCCAGCTGGCTGGACGCTGACCTTGGCGCGCGCAGCTTACTCCGTGCTTGAGAGGTAACGTCCTCGTCGCCAGGAACAGCGCCTGGATACATGCAAATAAAACACGCATAGTTCACATCCATAACGTTTTGTCCACGCTACATTAGCCTACTTGTTTTTATCGTTAAAACGTCTAGCATGCTAAAAATGTGCTCTCATTGAGGCTATTCTTGGAGATCCAGAAATAAATAAGTAAATAATAAGTAAATGATGAACAAAAAATGACTTGAAATAACTTAAATGCGTTACATTAAATGTGATTTTAGATAACAGCAAGCCATGAAGATTAAGTTAAGAACTGCTCATTCGTTTAACATTTAAATTATAAATAGTGTAATTTCAGTAGTAGCATTCTCTGTTAAATAATAAGACCCTTATAGCATCTGCACCTGATCTTAGCGGACACAGGATCTCTTACTGTCTGATTCGGGGAATCGGAAAGGCCGCGTTACACAACACTGTGGCCACCAAGGGCGAAAAACGAAGTGAGAAGATAAATTGGGGCTGCGGAAGGATCGGGGGCAAAGAAACTACATTTGTTTAGAAACACAGTGTGAAGACCCCTGGTCTCTTGGACGTGACCTCTGTTATTTCAGTCTTCACGCGCACCTCATTGGAAACACTCCGCACGCACAGCCGGGAGACTCAAGGGAGATCGAGCCTGGAAAAGGGAATTTCACCAAAACTCGAAAAACAAACCATGTAAGGAAGAGATACATTTTAGGTCATTTCTCAGGTCAAATAAGACCACCACTTATATAGTTTAGAGTATGAATAGACGCACGGCAAAATTAAATTTTATATAATAGCCATGGAAAGGAAACATGGCCCTAAATATTGTATTACGCAAAATCCAACGAAAAGAAAGCTTCTTTAAAAGAAAGGAAGGTAAACTCTTCAGATGCTTCAATACATCCAGATGCTTCAATGCGTTTTTTTTAAATATGGTAGGGCAAAACCGGTTCACCATTACATTATCTTATATCTCTGCCAGGGGAGAAGGTGAACAGACGATTGAAACGCAATGAAAGGAAGTTAAATATAGCAGGATAGATTTCAAACAAGTGCAAACAAGAAAGTTGAACGTCGGTGACACGACAATTTATACCGATTTATTTGAATGAATAAAATTATGTCAACAATTTAAACCACCAGAAACACAATAAATTGCTCATTTTTAATACTTAATATATTTTAAGGAAAAAAGTATTGAAAATAAACCGTGAAATCATCACTGCATTATAAAAAATAAATAAGCTGTAACTGGCATCAGATATCGGCAGGGTGTTAGTTAATAACATTAATTTAGATTATTGTGTGCACAGCAAAGCTAATATCAACATATTTTGCGTCAGGATAATAAAATGCCCTTCCAAAAGGGAAACACTTGTTTCAGTCACGTTTTATGTAAAATAGAACTTGTATACATCTGCAAATTATTGAAAGTGATTCTGAGTTTGAAAGGTTGAATTTCTATCAGATCTACCACATAAATATTACAGGTAGCATTATTGATTAAATAAATCAATATGAATTACGTTGTAATATGAGGCCCATTGAACAATCGTTTGAAAATTAAATAACCGGGAAAAAAATTATTTTGCACCCCAAAACATTTTAAATTTAAATTTCATGCATTCCATGAAATGAACGAAACAGGCATTATTATAAATGTATTTTATTTTAATGCATCAAATAAGCAAAGTGTAAACATTATAAAACATATTACAACGTACACCTCAGTCATTTGAAATGATACATTATTACAGTTGTACTTATCAATTCTAATTGATTTATTCGAATTGATGCGAGACTAAAATTCTGTCGATTAAGCATTACCGTTTACCTCTGCATGAACTTACCATTCCTATGCTGTGAAATGTTTTTTTTTATATATATCTAAATACTACTAATCTTGCCTCTTGTACAAATGAGAAAAGAAAACCTCTTGCCACAGGGACTGTTTGTCATTTCGATTCCACTGGCCAATCGAAACGCATTTCAAGAGGGAACCTAAACCCAATTGGTGATCGTTTCCTTAGTGAAGAAAAACGTTTTGTAAGTCCAGCCCATAGTATTACTGGATAGAAATGTAAGCCAGTCCTCCTTGCCATGAGGAAACAGAACGCAAATTTACCCTCTTGCCACTATCGTTATTACTGCCAAACCGAAACAGTAACTTTCCTTGCTCTTCGAGAAGAGTTTGCAGAAAAGGTATAACTAGACGCAAACCTGACAGAAGGCGTAATTTAGATATTTTTTGTTGTCACTGGTGGAATAAACGCAATGGGTAAGTAAACTCACTGCCAAAATTGAATGCGAGTGGCGAATATATGTGCTCGTTTGAACTAACGTGCTTGCTCAAGCGAAGTCTTGATCAAGACAGATTAAGAATGGTGAAGGTTTGGTTGCGTGCACACCTCTGTAGAATAGAATATATATTTGGGTTTGAGCTATTTTGCAATATATTACTTTAAAAACAGCATAAATTTATGTTTAGGTCATCATTTTTATATCTGTGAATAAGCTCTATACATAAGGTTCAAATTTAACTGTTATTTTTAAATGCACTTTTATATAATAGATACATCCAAATTCAAATCAGCACACTGAAATAATATTTTAAAAATGTTAAACTAGTTCTTAATTTAGTTAAGAATCATTCCACATTCGTATTTCACACGGTTTGCTATCATCATCGATAGGTCGAACCGTAATTAGTAACACATTGAGTCGTTTCCCACCGCTTTTTGTGATGGTGTTTGTTTTGTGTTCATGTCCACAACAGAGCCTGCCTTTGGCGAGGTGAATCAGCTCGGCGGTGTTTTTGTCAATGGCAGACCGCTTCCCAACGCCATCCGGCTCAGGATTGTTGAACTGGCCCAGTTAGGCATCAGGCCTTGCGACATCAGCAGACAACTCCGTGTATCCCATGGTTGTGTCAGCAAGATTCTGGCCCGGTACAACGAAACCGGCTCCATACTCCCGGGGGCCATTGGAGGCAGCAAGCCGCGAGTCACAACTCCTACTGTTGTCAAACACATACGGACCTACAAGCAAAGGGACCCTGGTATTTTCGCTTGGGAGATCAGAGATAGACTTTTGGCCGACGGTGTGTGTGACAAATTCAATTTACCCTCCGTCAGTTCTATTAGTCGGATTCTTCGCAACAAGATCGGAAATCTGTCGCAACAAAACCAGTACGAGTCGATCAAACAAGCGTCTCACCCCGCAGCTCAGCCTACGCCCCCGTACAACCACATTTACCCCTACCCGACTCCCATCGCGGCCACTGCGGGTAAAGTGCCTACCCCGCCTGGCATGCCTACCCTTCCCGGACACATGGCAATGCACAGGATATGGCCGTCGTCGCACTCTGTCACCGATATACTGGGCATTCGATCAATAACAGAACAACAAAGTAAGCAACCTACCTCGTCGAATTTCATCTGAATGCAAAGTCGATCTCAGCGTTTCACTCTCATTAAGTTAAAGCGATTCATTAACAGATGCGCAACATCGTATTTGGGGTGCTATGTTAAACTTGTGTGCATGATGATGTGTGTTTACTTTTTATTTATAACGCGCAATCGTTTAGCTGTTAGTGATGGTACCAGTATCAAACTGTTATACATATAATTCATAGCAGGCTAAATTATGAATTATTTATTAATAATGGAGTGGCTTGCTAAGAATAAAATCCTGGCAACAGAGAGAATGTTGAAACATAAAATAACGACTTATACGTTTATATGATGTAAATTAAACTATAACAAATGACAATTTTCGTGTCATCATGTCAGTTACAATCTGATACTAGTATGACAAGTAATTGTTATAATCCTTATTGGAACAAATTGTCAAGATTAATGTTTCATGTTTTATATGCGTGTTTTTCGTAGCTGGGTGATAGAATAACATGACTGTAGTTCAAACAGCTACACTGGAACAGATGGTTTAGGGCTGCAGTTATAATTAAAGAGCGGATGTTGAATATTAGCAGGATAACGAAGGGAAAGCGCAGCGGAGGGGAGATGGACTGAAAATCCAAAATGATCAAAGCTGCCATTTTTCACAGCTACACTTCCACGTGCCCTAGCAGAATCCCTCCTCAGATTGCTATGACGCAAACATCAAGTTTTGACTAGTACGCTGTCAGAATGTATACTCTTTTATAATATAATTTGTCTTATTGCTTGTATGTTAAAATATTCCGTTCAACCCGTTTTTCCTAACATGAACACTATTTTGTTATAACAAAATAGACATAGGCCTATTAGTCATGCTCTACAATTTGATCTTACGTTTTAAAATTAAAAGGATATCGATGTGACTTTATTAAAGTGATTAGAATGTTTCTGACTGAAGTGAGCCGTGTGTTGACACTAGTGTTTACGCTGCCGTGTCGAAACACGCCTCTTACGAGGCCTTTGAAGGTCCCTGGTGTTCCACGTTACAGTTTACTTCGGCTAATTTAAAAAGTAGAGATTTTTCTTCTATTCAATAGCAGTGCATATATTCGAAAATAACATAAAATACATGAAAGGAATGTGTACTTGAGGAGCACCTTTATAAACTATTTATGAATATCCAAATTATTAGCAGATGTTTGTGGAAGGTTTTGAAAGCCCGAATGAAGTATGACGTAGTCACACTGACTTGAGGCCCTTTCGCACCGCGATTGTTTCTCCGGCTAGGGCCGTGTTATCTTTTAAATTTTGGACTATTATTCTGGAATAAAGAAGCTTTTCATTTAAGTTATAATCGAAAGCGATTTAAAAACAATAGTTTAAAGATTCGAAGGTAACTGGAAAACGTGCTGGGAAGATTTAGCAAGCAATCTATATGTAGGCCTACATAGAGATTTAAAATTAAGAGACGCACTAAATTTCGAAACAGCTGACTTGGTAGTCGACTTAATTTCCAGTAGGCCTGTTGCGTGTTATTACACTCGTTTTCCTTCCACGGGACACGCAATTGCGAATAGGCCATGTTACCAAAATCACCTTGAATCGTCATATACCTCTATTAGCGAGGCCGTGT